TGTTGCCTTCAGAGGTTCTTCAATTAGATGGTAATATTAATTAGAAGGTTAAAACAGGGTTTTCGTGCTCAGATTGGACGAGAGCTCTGGTTTTTATAACCTTAAAGATAAGGTTGGGTTTTCTGGGGGATTTTCTGAACAATTGGTAACTGTTGATGGATGGTTTATCCATGATCAGTGGTCATACTTAGGAGGCCTTCAGGTGGAAATATGAATAGATCCATTTGAATGTAGGCTTCGGTTACCTAGTCGAATGTAAATGAAAATTATGTGGAAATTTAAACAGCCTTTAATAAATTAGATGAAACCCCAAATTGTAGTTAAATGCTGAAACTGTTGTCTGGAGTTACGACATTTGGTGGCAAAGTTTTGAGTTGTGATTAATTCTGATCCCTGATTAATATAATAATCAAGGGACTGTTGAGTGCTTATTACATGTTTCTATGATGTTGAGAGAAACAGTGCTTAAGGTTTTTTCTTCTATTTTGATATTATGGTCATAAACATACAGGAATGGGTTCTTGGACATACAATAGCTTGTTTACTTTAAAAACCTCTCCAACATACTAAGAGTAGCACAAAAGTCAGAAAATGAAACATAATTAGGTGCAGAGTCAGGGGTCTATATGTCCCAATCGCACTCCTACGGATACCAGAGTAATTTCTGAACAGAGTGATGAATTCCTTTAGTGAAATGAGGAAGTCACCAGGAGAGGAGGTGACCAACTAAGGTACTCTGTGCCAATGATTTGTAGATAGGCAATTAAAGCCCTCTCCTTTGCCAAAAGTGGTGAGGATGTGAACCTCTTATCCATTGGGGTTACACTAATAGGAAATAGCTTAACTTGAGAAAAATATTTAAGCATATCCTCCCCAGCCCTTCATCTCCCCCTGTGGTCCACTCCAGAGTAAAAAAGAATCCAGCTGGTTTAAGGAGCCAGGTTCTAGAACCCAGATTGTGTGTGGAGGTGGACTCAACTATTTCTAGCTGGTTTTAGTCAGTATTTTTAAAGCCTTTTACTTATATTCGTCATTTCCTGTTTCATAAGTTAGCTTCGTAATAAACATCATTAGACATCTAACAATAAAAAAGACATATTTTTAAGATTTCTGGAATTAGTTTAGCACTTTTGTGATGTGCTAACTGATAGATTATCTGGGTCAAATACCTTCTAAAAATTTAATTAATGGTTAAAAGAGATAAACTTAAGCCGGGTCAGCTTCTATTTCATTCTTGTAAAGCTTATCTGTATGCATCTACAAGGAAGTGACACAAAAATGAGGATGTAAAAGCAATGAGAAACTTTAACCCAAGCTTATTTGGTTACAGATAAATGGTCCCAAAACCGGTCTGTTTTCCTTGAATATCTGCAATTACTGAAAAAAAAACAAAAAAAAAACAAGAAAACCTTGGTGGTACAATGAAATAGTAAATGGAGAATACTTTGGGTGAGAGGAGCTTTCTTTTCAAAGAAGTTAAATTACTGCTAACACTTTTGTGGAAACAACAAACCCAACTCTTTGTAGCTCTGAAATGAACAGACAGGCACATTTTTTTCTTAAGACTGGTAACTTCTTTCTTTTTATTAAAGACATCAGACACTTCATTGTGTTATGAGTAAAACATGAACTTTAACAAAAATGGTTACCCCACTTCAGAGATCTTACCTGAACATTTTACAGTCTTGTGCATTCTAAATGAACAGACAGTAAGTATAATAAAACTAATGACAAATTTGCAGGACAATTACAAAGCAGTTCAAACAAAATACCTTGTATAGATCCTGAACTGACCACATTGCTGCAAGCAGTCCTCTTCATACTCAATTCAATTCAGTTTATTTATATAGCGCCGATTCACAACACGCAGTGTATTCTCATTATAAGTTCGAATGAAATCGTACGAAAAGTTATGCACCGTAATTTCGTACGTTTTAGATGTTTTTTTCGTCATATGCGCATGCGCATCTGATGCACCATTCACAAATATATAATATAAATTACAATTAGCCCTAACCCTGACCCTAACCCTAAGATATATAAACAGCAGGCAACGTAGTTAGAGACAGGAATAAGTGATGATTGCACTGTTTTTCCCAGTTTTACATCCGTCCGCGGATCTGCTTTTTTTTTTCTGTCTGCCAGCGCATGTGCACTGATGTGGTTTTTTGAGGAAAAACATCCAAAACGTACGAAATAGTGTGCATAACTTTTCGTACGAACTGATAATGAGAATATGTTGCAACACGTCATCTCAAGACACTTTACAGTTTAAGCAGATCATACAGTCACATTGATTAAAAGTTTTCTATCTAAGGAAAACCAGTTGATTGCATCGACTCATTGACTCGAAGGCTATCCCTGACACCAAGCATGCTTGTAGCGACAGTGGAGAGGAAAAACTTTCTTTGAACAGGAAGAAACCTCCAGCAGAACCAGACTCAGTGTTAGCGGCCATCTGCTGAGGCCGACTGCGGTTCAAGGAGACAGAAGAAGACATAGAAAAAGAAGCAGAGATACAAAAGGCAACCGTCAATCAGCTCCAGAGGCGGCCCCGTCCAGGAAACACACAGCCAGGCAGACGAGCTCCGAGCCAGCTCCCATGTCAGAGGATGAAGAGAGCACATCCAGCCAGTCAGTCAGAGAAACAGGACTACACTGAAAAGCAGGCCAAGCTCCAACATCTATAAACAAAGGTGTTGATGGCAGCAGCACAGTTGATATTTCTCTCTTGGATGGAGTCACAGCCAAACAGGAACAGACCAGATGAAGCTACTATGAGAAAAAGCAGAGAGAGCAGAACGTTAGAGATTGAACTAACAAATACTACAAAATGGGAGAATATAGATAGAATGAAGCAGAATGATGAAAAAGGGGTCCCCCTTTCCTCCAGAAGTCTAAGCCTATAGCAGCATAAATATACAGATAGCTCAGGATAACATGAGCCACTCTAACTATAAGCTTTATCAAAAAGGAAAGTTTTAAGCCTATTCTTAAAAGTAGACAGGGTATCTGCCTTGGGGACTAAAACTGGTAGTTGGTAGTTGGTGAATGGGGAACTGGGAATGGCAGTTATGATTCATGTAATTGTGATAAAAATGGTAATTATGTTATGTTAGCTTGTGTGTTGCATCTTGCCTGTTATAATGAGATGGATAACGACAACGGTTTACAAATGGAGGACGACTGAACCAGGACCTGAGACTATAGGACTACAAACCGTCTTAAGCCACTTGTAGGATTCCTGAAGGCTTGAACTCCTGCTCCCTGTGGTCATATCTTCCTGAAACCCAGCAACAGAGTCCTGGAACTTAAAGAGGGTTTTGGGTTTTTCAAAGGAATAGAATGCATCACAAACATTGACTATTTTGTTATTTCACAAATATAGTCCTGATAAATATAAAACACAATTATTTAACATAATAACCTCTATTACTGTCATATCTTTATACATCTTTATAAACTATACACAAGCAACTGTTGACTTTGGATTCAACTTCAATGACTGACTTTTTTTTCTCTTTCCTTTTTACTTTTACCTAACCTTATACACAACTTAAGCATCTTTTTATTTGTTTTGAATAGTTGTCCCTCACAGATAATGTTTGTAATACTGAATATCACAATTGTTTTAAAGCATTTATGAGTTGATGATTTATAGATCATTGTGGGTACCACGGTCAAGATGTGATTTTTGCCTAAAGGACGGATGGATGGATGGATGGATGGATGGATGGATGGGGACCAGGTCGATTTGGATAATTCCATCTACTAAATAAGGACATATAAGACAAAGTACCTGCTGGTGAAGGAGATGTTTTAGATCCCATACTGATTGAATTTTGGCCAGGTGGAAGATGGTGATCTCATTCCGTGTGTTCAGTCGTACTTACTTTAGTTTTCAGTAATCACATATACATTAATGATTTTATTTAAAATGTTATATCTTCCGACATATAACATTATGAGTTTGTGACATTACCATTAATATTTTACTTTTCATGTTTTATCTTCACACAAGTAAGTGCACTTAGTTAGTATATGTCATTGAAATACAGGGGATGTAGCAGTGAGATTATTTGAAGCCATGTTAACGCTTAGACCTCTTTCTTTGTTGGTAATATGAAGAGAAACAGAGTCTTAAATGTTTAGGCAGGAAAACAGTTGCATAAACAGAAACAATGCCAGCTTGATGGAAAGCAGATGTGAGGAGAAATGTTTTTGCCAAAAGAAGGATGGCTTTTCCAAGGTCCACGCAGAGTTGACCATGCTTGTGTTTTTTGGGAAGGTTTTGAGCTTCCCGTTTGATGCAATGTGTCACCCAATCAGAACATTTTCTCCTATTGTCAGGTCTCTAGATCACAAGCACCCTGCACACTAACGGGACAAAGCACACAGACTTCTACGAGCACATGAGCCATGAGGCGACACACGTTGCCATAAACTTCAGCACATACATACACAACCATGTTAGAATACGGTGTAAATATATCTAAGAATGAAAATGAATCTCACTCTAGTCAAGGTTTATCTGTAGCAGACCTAGGCAAGGAGTGAAGATCTAGGTATTTAGCCGGTTTTAAAGCATATTAATTTTTCATTCATACCTGAACCTATGCTAGACCGCCACAGTTATGAATTATACAGTACAGCAAAGATCACAAAATCGTTTAAAGGACAATGATTGAGATAACTAATTCAGGTATAATAAAAACTTGAAGAAATAAAAAGAAAACAAAATACACAACTTTGTCAGTTTTATATATTTTGTATTTCCACACCCAAGTTAATTAGGAATAAATGAATGAATACAGAGGTTGATAAAACAATGAAACCAAAAATAGAAAAGAAAAAGAAATTCAGAATTTCGGACAAGCAAATTTAAATGTCATAAAACTAGGAACCTGTCTTAAATGAATGATAGCATTACTATTACCACAAACTTAGATTAACACAATAAAATCTGCACGATCACAGAGTATTTGGATTGGAGCAGTATCTAATAAACCAGAGCTCATTCAGTGAATAACGACTTTCATGATTCAGTTTTGAAAAATAATAAATGTCCCCTTGAAAACCACTAACATTTTTTACAAGAAAGAAACTTAAGAAAACATCAGAGTTATTGTTGTTCAGAAGTCGGCAGCAGTTGGTATTCAGTTCTGGCTCTTCTTTTCCAGTAGATGACAGCTCCAAGTACCAGGACGCTACCAACCAGCAAGACTTGGTTCAGACTCAGATTCAGGCTTAGGTCAGACCCTGAAATGTCAAGATATTAAGAATCAAACTTGTAAGATCTACCATTAAGAAAAGAAAGTGTCAGAGAAACGGCCATACACACAAAAAAGACTCCAACAACTCAAATAAATGACCAGTGGGTCATTGATTTGCATCTGACTTGGAATGTACTTTGTAGGGTGGGTCTCCATTTAGCTTAAAAACAGCATTCAAGCTCTCTGTAGTGTGAGCCAACTGAATGAACAAAGACTGCTGGACAGGCATTAAGTTGTTTTCAAAGAAACTGAGCAAAGTCTGGTGTTTTTATATAAGCTATATTAAAATAATTCTGAATATATTTGATCAATAATCTTAATATTCCCAACAGATGTGAAGTTAGCAAAAATACTGAAATATTATTAATGCCAAACGATTGCATTAACAAAAATAATTATTAATTACTTTTTTCTTTCCTGTTCTGTGTAATTATTGACCGACTGCATTTGAACTCTCACCTTTGGTATCAGAAGTCTTAACGAGACGCAAAGGACCCTGGGAAATGGAGTGACTGCTCGTTTCAGCTGGAGCATCCCTCTTTCTGCGATTGTTCAGTGAGTTGGACCTGATACATCCCTGGGAGCATCGAGTTCCAGGAAAGCCGGTCTCACACAGGAGAACTGAACAGGTGATGTAGACCTGCAGAGCCACACAGGCGAAGACAAATTGTTAAACACAACCATCACCATAAAAATGCCTTCACATTTTCTTTTATTTTTTTTTATTTTTTTATAACTAAATGAAAATTTAGAGACAATGTTTTTTTTTTCAAAAATACAAATTTTGCATTTCGGTTTTAAAAACAGAAGGTTACTTTCTTCTTTGATTGTGTTTTCAAACAGAAAAACCTGAAAAAAGGGGACCATTGGTGTATTAGGCCTCTTCAAGCACCAAGGTGATGATAAAGGTTTGCTGCACATCTAGGCTTTGTCATGGTCTTGGTTCTGTTGTACTTTACTTTGCTCCTTGTTTTCTAGTTTTATTGATTTAATTCCTGTTTTGTTGTAATTTCTACATTTATGTTATTTCTAATCTTTTTTTGTTGCTCTCTTGTGTGTGTGTTCCTTTCCCCTTGGCACCCTCGTTATCTCCTCTCCCACCTGCTCCTTGACAGCTCTTTAACCCTGCCATTGTCTCAGTCAGCTATTTATACTCTACCTCTGCTGTCACTCCTTGTTGGTTCCTTGTCATTGCTGTCTTACCATGCTGTTGTCTACCTCCCTGTTCTCCACCATGGCTCCTCGTGATTTACATTATTAATTGGATTTTTGGATTCCTGCCTTTGTTTTCTGCTTTTTCATCAATAAAACTGCAAGAAATATCCTCAGCCTCTCTGCCTCTGCATCTGTGTCCTCAAACCTCAACCAAACCCTGACAGGCTTGCTGACAAATTGTGTCTTAACTTGCTTCTTAACACTATTGCTGAGTTTGAATCCAGCCACGGCGTCCTGCAAAGTCGAGATTCGTCGGCCGATTGGGGGAAGTGGTGGCCCTATTGGTTAGGGGATTGTGCTTGGAGTCTGAGCCCCAGTCCCACAGAATGCCACTCTGGGTCTCTGAGCAAGCCCTTAACCCTACGCTGCTTTCCAGGCACCGCACAATGGATGCCCTCTGCTCCCCAAGGGGATGGGTTAAATGCAGAGGTAAATCTCTCCAATGTGAGATCAGTAAAGTTCGCCGATGCCTTTTCGGATTGGAAAACTCCTTGTTATGCAGCCTTCTTTTTGCACCTTTTGAAGGAAAGGTCTGCTGTATTCTATATAGCCCTTAATATGCCATGATTCATTGCGAGTCCAAGAAAGCAGGCTGCTCCACACTCAGAGGAAAAAAAAGAAAAATGCTGCCGAACAGTTGTGACTATTGGAAGTGTGGTTTAATATAATACAAGTGTGTGAATAATTCCCTCTGAATTCATGAAAATATGTTATTGATTATTAAGTCAGATATGTGGCGGATAATGTTTGGTTTACTGAAAGGTTTTATCCGTCCCTGAGTAAATGGGTTTGCCTGACATTTAAGCACAGATTTCAATATCTCTGCAGCGTGGGGACTATAAATCTGATATCTGAGATGACGGTACTGGTGCTGAAGCTCCTCAAAAACGTTGTTAGAACTCAGAACAGTTATGAGAAGTTTGACATCCATTCTTATCCTGCGTTGTGTGTCATCTGTAACGGTTGCTAAGCAACAAAGCGTACACTGAATGAGGGGCGGAGGTCGCAGCAAGAGAGTCCAGTCTAAACTTTAAAGCTTTAAATTTTATTTACCTCATGGCAGGACAAAGATTCATAATTTAAGGGGGTTCTCTGCAGGTAAAACTTTGTAATTAGAAGCACATGTACATTCATACAGATCAGGACTAAACAAAATGTTCACATTAATGTGGATGAATATTATGAGTTAGAGCTATCCTTAAAATCTCTTTCCTTCTAATTAACTTCAGAGTGGCCATTCCTCATCTTTGAAAGGGAGTAGCTAAGTTGGGTGAGGGATTAGATCATTATACATCCCAAATACCAGTGTTAAGATGCTGAGATCTTGCATAACAAGCTTAAGATTCAAAAGGAGTCGTATTTCAGGGTTTGGGTTCTGTGCAGACCTCAAATAGGTGTAAGACGGTCAATTTAATCTTTCTTAGAGTTAAGCCTTACCTCCTGATGAGCACCGATGAACTCAAAAGCCTCAAGTCCAAATCTGAACTGGGACTTGGAGCTGGGGTAGATTTGTGTTGTTTCTTCCTTCACACACCTACAAGAAGTGAGAAAAAGTTTAACTTGGTAAACAAAATAAAAGTAGTCAATTTTGATGTCTAAGTTGTCAGTAAAATATCTTTTTCCCAGTACCCATTCTCAATGATAGTGTAGCTGATGCGGGAGTTGGGGTTGTCGTAGGGAGTCGCCCTGCAGGACTCCACAAACAGCTCAGTGTTGGGGATGGACGTGGTGGCCTCGATCTGCATGTAGATCATCTGCTTGAGGTAAACTTCCACTGGGTACCTGCTGGAGTCAACTTGCTTCCTGAAACGCTGGCTCTCAAAGAACTCAAACTGGAAGGTGAAAGTACCAAAGCCCCTCTCATCAAAGGCGTATGGGTTTTTGTGTCTATATCCCAGAGTGAGGTTGGTTCGCTTGGGAAAGGAGCAGGAAAATGCTATCTCGACGTCATGCTGCCTGGAAACAATCTTACTTTTATCTGCAGATGTGATCACGTTGGTAAAGATAATGTTATCATCATCCTCCTGAAAATGACATGACATTAAGAATTAATGAAAACATAAATTAAGTAGAAGGTTTTATGTAAGAAGAATAAAACATGTGTTAGTGTATATGAACTAATCCTGGGGCAGTAACAGTGTGATGATGTGTCTCCTTTTGTGTTAAGACTATATAATATTAATTTCCAACATATTTAATTAAAAAGACCCCTTCCTGGATTGCAAACTCTTGACTCCAAGATAGTTGCCATATCGTTCTTTCCCACTTACATAAATGTTGCTAACTATGTTTAGTATGTTTAGTACCTGCACAAGGGTTCCACAACTGCCCAGTGGCATGACAGCAACCAAGTGACTAGAGTTGGAAAGTGTGTTCAAGTTGCATGAGGAGTCTGTGAAGTCATTTAAATGCAAAATGTCCTCATTGCTCTTAACGAGGTAGGTTTTCTCCACCTCCACAGAAATTGTGGTTTCATTGCAAGTCACTTTGGCCTCTGGAAAAGGACATTTTTTACTAAACAACAAGAAAAATAAAAGGTTAAAGACCAACAGTTACATAAAATCCCTTCAGATAAGAGTTGGAGATTGTTAGTGTATATGAGACACAAAAGTTAATAGAGCCTATTAACTTTGTCATCATTTTGTCCACTAATTTTCTTTGCCTCTCAAGCTGTAAACACATTACAGTAAAGAACCTTTGTTTTGAAATGTGTTTATCCATCTGCAATTAAACTTATAAAACTGCAATAAGACATTTTATAGAATACTTATTTAAAACTACTTATTCTATATTTTCTAATTGGCTTTTAAAAAAATTTAATGAGCTATAGCTCCCACCCTTGCCATTAATTGCATGTGTTAACCTACCATGATGACCAACACTGACAGTCACACAGCGCAGCTCTGAGTGGTAGACCTGGTAAAATCTGTAATACAATGCAGAATAATCATGCAGATATGTAAAATAGATAAAATGCTATTCTATTTTAAAATACATGTTGGGAATTTGGGTATAGAACTTTAAATCAGCAATACAATAGTTTTAAAACTTACTCGTCTCTAGCTTCAGATATGAAGCATATCGGGAAATACTCATTCAGCTGATCTGAAGTTGGGTACCATTTTAAGATGTAGGCATCAGAGGAAGTTTTCTCCTTTGTTATGCCAGCAGGGCCTATAACAATCAGGTCATTGATCCTAAAAGACAGCATAAGATTGATGTGAGAAAGTAACAAGTAATAAAAAAATCTCTAAACAAAATAAAAAAGTATTTGAGGATAAATATATACATGGCATATACCACTGATGAGTCAATGAAAAACATCCCACAACTGAGCTTTTGCCTCAGCAACCAGCCGATCTCCCTGCCGCTTTGACTGCCGGTACACATTAGCTGCTTCTGGAGTCTCACAGGCTAATAAAACCCAGTAGGACTCCTTATTCAGCTTGATAGCTTCCCTCATCGCTGGTGTCCCGTCAGCGTCTTCGAGGGTTGCTGCTAACAACCTTACGGCCACAGCTCTGACTATTGCCTCAACAATAGAGGCACGGAACATGGTCCACTCAGACTCAAATGTATTCCAACTTCCCTGAAACATGTTCAAAGCTCTCCCGAAGGTGGGAGGTAAAGCTCCATCTCACGGGGGACTCTGCCAGGTGTTTCCAGCAAACCCTCACAATACGTTTGGCTCTACCAGGTCGGACCAGCATTCTCCCCCACCATTGGAACCAGCTCACAACAGCGAAGTGGTCGGTAGAGAGCTCCACCCCTCTTCAACTGAGCGTCCAAGACGTGCGGTCTTTAATCAGATGAAACAGCAGCAAAGTGGATCATTGAACTACAGCCTAGGGTGTCCTGGAGCCAAGAACTCATATGGACACCCTTATGCTTGAATATGCTGTTCGTTATGGACAATCCATGACAAACACAGAAGTCAAACAACAGAACAACAATCGAGTCATTGTCACTGTCATACTTCACCTGCGTTGCCAACTGATGGTGGTCAGAGGGCCCAGTGGTGCCGGTGTACAGTAGCCTTGCTTCTTTTAGTGAGCCCCAGGGAAGCTGTGGCTACAATGTAGTTTGCCACCCTCAGTGTGTGCGTGAATGGATGAATGACTTAATGTAGTCCAAGGCACTTTGATGAAGTCTTCTGACTTAAAAAAATGCTATATAAGAACAGGCCATTTACCATTGCCCAAATAAGCGTCCCCCAGAAGAGCAAGGGAGTCTCCAGTAACGCCCCCTAAGAACTCCAACAATGGTTTGTAATCTGAATTGCTGCTTGGTACATAAGCAGAAACACTAGTAAGAACCTGTCCCCCCACACCTATGCGGAGGGAGAAAACCCCCTCGTTTACCGGAGTAATCCCCAACTTATAAGCATCAAGATGAGGGAAAACAAGTATGCCCACTCCTGCTCTGCACCTCTCATAAGGGGCAACTGCAGAGTGAAAGAAAGTCCAGCCCCCCTCAAGGATACTGATTTCAGAAACATGCGTCAAGTCCGACTATAACTAGCCTGAACCTCTCAACCTCGCGCACTACCTCAGGCTCCTTCTCCCAATGAGAAATGACATTCCATGTCCAAAGAGCCAACTTCTTCAGCCGAGGATCAAGCAAGGCAACCCAAACATCTTTGCAAATAAATAAGATGATGGTTAATTGGTCATTTTTTTTTCAATTTAGGAGAGATACATGTTTGGGCCAAAGATACAGCAACAGACCTCTAGATATCTAGTGGAGTTTAGGGCTATATGGGCCAGGGCTGTTTAGGCAGTACACTGATGGTCATAATGTTATGCTTAGTAAGTTACAGGCATACTGTAGTTAAAAAAGGAAAATTAAATTGCTTACCTTGTGTACTGAGCTTTTGACCTCACTTCAATTTCAAAAGGCTGGTTTAAAAATGCAGTAAGATAAGCTCTATTAGCTGGAGTTGGTGCCAGGAAAACGGGGAAGTAATCACCATCAAGACAAGAGGGAGCATTGTGGGAATCCACTGGAAATTAAATCACACATTAGAGAAGATGTTAGAAAATTGAAGGTTACTTTATAAAATAGAATTTTATAAAGTATAGAATTTTGTAAATGTTACCATAAACAGAGAATTGTAGAGGAAGTTTGCTTAAAGGAGGAATCGATGACCTATAAAGTCCCACAGGACTTATTGTGGTGGTTGAAAAACCTGTAGAGGTTGTGGGAGCATCTGTAATGGTGGTGGTGGGAGGAGCAGTGGTGGTTGTTGGAAAATAAGTGGTGGTGGTTGGAGCAGCGGTGGTGGTGGTTGGAAAAGAAGTGGTGGTGGTTGGAGCAGCCGTGGTGGTGGTTGGAGCAGCTGTGCTGGTGGTTGGCGCAGCCGTGGTGGTGGTTGGAGCAGCCGTGGTGGTGGTTGGAGCAGCAGTGGTGGTGGTTGGAGCAGCAGTGGTGGTGGTTGGAGCAGCCGTGGTGGTGGTTGGAGCAGCAGTGGTGGTGGTTGGAGCAGCCGTGGTGGTGGTTGGAGCAGCAGTGGTGGTGGTTGGAGCAGCAGTGGTGGTGGTTGGCACAGCCGTGGTGGTGGTTGTAGCAGCAGTGGTGGTGGTTGGAGCAGCAGTGGTGGTGGTTGGAGCAGCCGTGGTGGTGGTTGGAGCAGCAGTGGTGGTGGTTGGAGCAGCAGTGGTGGTGGTTGGCACAGCCGTGGTGGTGGTTGGAGCAGCAGTGGTGGTGGTTGGAGCAGCAGTGGTGGTGGTTGGCACAGCCGTGGTGGTGGTTGGAGCAGCAGTGGTGGTGGTTGGAGCAGCCGTGGTGGTGGTTGGAATATAAGTGGTGGTGGTTGGAGCAGCCGTGGTGGTGGTTGGAGCAGCAGTGGTGGTGGTTGGAGCAAAAGTGGTGGTGGATGCGTAGGAAGGCGCCCAACGCTTTCCTCGTGTCAGTGATAGAGGCTGCTTTGTGGTGTAGGACCCATCAGAGTAGGACAAGTGTATCTGTTTGTTGGGAAAGTCCTCAACCACTAATTCAATTGGATGGATCCCAGTGTTACTGCTGTAGTTATATGTCAGAGAGCAGGAACTCTGTCAAGGAGAACATTGTTTCACCAGCGTGCAGTATAAATAACTGGATTAAATTTTTTTTTACTTTTTCCTCTTTACTTTACAGTAGGCCAGCTAGACAGTATTGTTTGAATGTAGAACTTTGATTAGCATGTATCTGAAGATGGGCCTAATGCAAACGACTGGAGTTCATTCGGGACAGACACAATGTGCAGCCCTGTTTCAAATGTGGTGTCCTGCATTTGATTACATACACTGTGTAAACGACTTGTCAGAGTTGGAAAAGAAGGTAGAGATGGAAAAGAAGCTACCTGAGCAATTTGTGTTTTAAAGAGTATCACTGCTAGTGAAAACAGACTTCATTGAAACCATATTGAAAGTGACGGAGGAAAAAGTTTTGTAAATAATACATTTTTTGCTTATATGAAAAAATGCTTATTCACAAAATTATTATTATTGCAAATATCACTCATGATATATATAGGGTATATATATGGGGTAAGTAAGCATTCAACCCTGCAAGTGAATACTTAAATGTTCCGTATATCTGCGCAGACAAAGTGAGACCCAAAACAATATCTGGGGGGTCAAAAAAATTGTATTCAGTTTTTTTCAGTACTTGGGTCCAGACATGGGCAATGTGGAGTCAACAAGTCATCTCCATGTCATGTATTTGTTCTACCCAGCCACTGAAGCAGGTGAGTCCAGTCTTCACCGTGAATTAACCTGTGCAGATTGGACTCACCTGGTTAATTGGCTGGGTAGATTAAATACATGACATGGAGATGACTTGTTGACTCCACATTGCCCACGTCTGCTTGGGTCTTAAAAAGGTTAAAGCCGGGCATACACAGTACGATTTTTTTCAGTTGTTGCATGCAGCTGCAGCTCCCACTGTGCGAAGAAACCGCAGGGTTTCGTCGTACAGAGTGAGTTCCCAGCTCACGATGCATGTGTGGCCCGATGCTCTGATACGATCTACCTGCTCACACTGCACATCTAAAAACCACATCGGACTCAGCCCAGGAGAGAGATGGCACTACTGGGACTCATCTATCCGAAAGCGAAAGCAGTGGAAGAGGAATATGAAGGTCACCATAGTGAAACGTGCTGCCTATATATAAGTGGCTCCTAGTTAAAATTGACCGAACTAATTGGTAGCGGCCATTGTAAAACCGAACACTCAGAGTTCCCGACTTTTGGCTAGATTTGAATTTTAATCTGAATTTGTTACACCTGCTTCATGAAACAGATCCCAGGTCAATGTTCAACTGGACTTAAAAGGAAAATATTGACAGAAAATCCATACCTGGTCAAAAGAAAAACCACTAGGAAGGCTGCACTTCACACACTCAGATGTTTGGGGGTCTGTTGGCACTCTGCATCTCACATTATCACCATCAGGGTCCAATACTGCAATCTTAAACGTTCGGGGGCAGTTTCTTGGTATTCTGTAAGAAGAATAAGAATAGGTAAAGAAAGAATAAGTTAAGGTAAAATAATGTTGCCTTATCGTATTCAGTCACAAACCAGTGTTTTAACTGCCACCAGCATCAGACATTTGATTAGGCAAATATAGCAATCTGTGTTCAAGTTAAAATACACATTAATAATACCACCAAAAAAATTGGTACTCAAGAGTAATTGTTAGTCTGTAACATTTGATATCATGGCAGACAAAATGCTTTTTAAAATCAAATTTTATTAAACCAAATCATATGGAGTATCTATATGATTTGGTTATCTCATTATATTGAGTTAGCATCTCATTATATTGATTTACTATCTCATTATATTAAGTTACTGTAGTATCCCATTATATTGAGATACTACAGTATCTCATTATATTGAGTTAGCATCTCATTATAATGAGATATTATCTCATTATAATGAGATAATAATTTTTTTCATTTTTTACAGAGTGGCGGAAATGGGCTTCCATAAAATGTAACTACTTGCTACCCAATGCGGAGATTAAGTGCTGAGGAGGAAATGATTGAATTACCTGAGAACGGGAGGTGTGGTGAAAACAGGAGATTGGTTCGGATTTCTGGTATCAGATCGGTTTCCCAGGTCCACATGTATCAAATTCACCCATCCTAACCAGCTGCCATATATGTTTTCCTCCCAGTAACCAGCTCCATGCCACCAGTGGACAAAGTTAGGGAGTCTGGTTGGTAAGATTGTTCCAAAATAAAGACAAAGACAGTTATTATTAATACTGCCTGTTAAAACGTAAAAGGAAGTTACTAAACAGAGCTCCTTGAAAAAGGAAATAAAAAGTTACAATGACAGAGTAAAACTCTAATTACATTTGAACAATTTTTATTAGCATTTTCCGACTGATCTAGGCTAAAATGACATACTTTGTTTTATTATTAGAAATTTTTTTTTTCAATTTCCTTTTTGTATTCCCCAGGATAAGTTGCCCCTTTGGAGTTAAAAAAATACCAGTTCAGCATCTCTGTAATACTTTATGTATTAAATTTAAAACATTAAAACATTCTCAATGTTTTAGTTATGCTTTGTTTTGCATTTCCAAATGAAGAAAACTAACAGAGAGTCAACAAAATTTGTGAAATTATCATTTCATTAATGAACATGTTTGAAACATTGAGTTAATCAGTTACTAGCATCTCCACTGTGGGGAGACCTTACATCTAGCTTCTGGTGGTATTGAAAGCTGAAGGAAACTTTCACGTTCTTGGCACTGATGGCTGGATTATTGGTTCATTTCATCCACCTGCCTAGCTCCGCCCAGTTTTTCATTAAAGTTGTAGGGAAACGGCCGTTACAACCGTTACAATGCTCCCGAGTGGTGCCCAAATTTACACAAGTGAATAAAGTGAATGTGTTTGGTCGTTTATCAAGGGGGCGGGATTGATATGGCGGAAGGTTCGCAAGTTTGGTTGTGGCCGGCTTGAATTTCATTTCTCTTTTATACTAAAATGTCTTCTTAAAGAACAAAGTTGAACCACATTCCCTTTTTCTGCGCCAATTTGGCAAACAAAGTTAATTCAGATTTCAAATGACAATAAGAAATAAAACTCTCTTGTTACCAGCCTTTGAATTTCAGGAGGCTTTCAATAAAACTGAGAAGTATTTTCAATTTTGTAATAAAATATTCTTTAAATATACTCTCTAGAGTAACCAGACTAACGCATCTATTCTTTGAGTTGTTCAAATTATTTTAAAATTGTAATGTAGCTTACCTCATCTCAAATGGAAGGTCAGTGTTGAACCGTCTTGTAGTTGCTTCTGCATACTGCGTCCAGGTGATATTATCAGATGTTGTTGCAGCAATTGCAACGGATCTCTTAGTCTGGGTCCCACAGTTACCAGTTTTGCATATAGGATTATAATTCAAATACCGAAACACGGTTTGTCTCATATAGAAATTTGCCTAAAAAAAGAATAACATTTAAAACAAAAAATGAAACAGGAGCTGCTGATTTTGGCTTTCTGAAGTATGTCTTTTTATATATACATTTTTTATCTTTTATATATAAGTTATAAGTTTTTTTTCATTGCACAAAATGTTAAAGGGAAAAGGAAAAGAATAGAAGATGTGTTTATGCTTATTTTTTCATTACATAGTTAAAGAACAGGGAATAAAGTCACCATATTATTTAAGAATTGTACGAATGCAGAGAAGGTCAGGTATGCAATGTTAAGTCTCTGTGTTGACCAAGAGTTTATTTAAAGTTTTTTTGGAACCTACCATTTTCTCATCTTTTTTATTTTATAAATAAAAATGATGACCAGAAGTTTAAAGGAAAACATGTTGACCAATAATTTTAAGGCAGGTATGCCAAACAGGTTACCCTTAACTTCAAAGCATTTTACTGAAATTTAATTAAACTATTTTTTTTAAATAAATAAATGAATAAATCACACACCTCTAATTTCCCATTTGTCCCTTGCTTTGGAGAGAAGGTCACCGAACCTCCGTAGTACATTGCGAAACGGTACAAATGTGCAGATGGAACCAGGACCAGCAGAAGCAGCAGCAGTACAAGTGAAGCCATCCTGACGAAGGTTCTACCTTACAGCCATCAGGTCGCTCTTAAATAGGCTAACTCAAGGAATGTAATACCTTTTCCAGAAAGTAACATGCCAGCAGAAGAACCTGTTATGCTGGTTCTTTAATCCAAGTTGTGTTGCCACACATCTAATCTAGAAAAAGGTTGTCACACAAATTTGCCCCACTTCCCCACCACCTCGGCCGTATCCAGAGATGACAAAAGTACTCACTTTCCGTACTTGAGTAAAAGTACAGATACTTGTGTTAAAAAATACTCTGGTAAAAGTGGAAGTACTGATTAAACTTCTTTACTCAAGTAAAAGTAACAAAGTACAGGCTTGTAAATTTACTTAAAGTATAAAAGTAAAAGTAGAAACCACTTTTTTCATGCCGTTGCCTACATTTTAAATGGATGTCTGCCAATAGGACTAGATCTCCGTTGAGTTCGTCGTCCATACTACTATGCTACCGCCACCAAGCTGCAATGATTTGCCGCGAATGAATACCGCCGAATCTGTTGATTCATCTTGTAGTGGTGCGTCAAATACAACGTAGATTCCCATCCAATTAGATTGAATTTGGTATTGATGACGTGAAAAATAATAACGGTAACTCCAATGAAATGATTCAAAACTAAAGAAACGGGACAATTTTTTAAAATGTAAGGAGTAGAAAGTACAGATATTTGTGTAAAAATGTAAGGAGTAGAAGTAAAAAGTCGCCATAAAAATAAGTAGTAAAGTAAAGTAAAAATATCAGAAAAATCTACTTGAGTACAGTAACGAAGTATTTGTACTTCGTTACTTCCCATCTCTGGCCGTATCTAGACCCAAAGCTAGTTCATGATTTTCCCTCTTGCGTTGTGGTGTGGGATAACATAGCTCAGACCAAGCTTCAAAATTGGGCATAAGTCAAAAATATCTGCGACAAGCTGACTGCAACACACTGCTGCGGGAGTATAACCAGCCCTTAATGCTCAGAAACTGTTTGGACCCAAAGTTACATCCAGACAGAGATAGTAGAATTACATAATTTATTATTGAAAATAAATCAGCATTACCCTACCTTTAGCTTAAAGACTACAGGAGATCAGAAGGCAACCAGACAAAAAAATGTAATGAGAGAATGTTAGTTCTTCCCCACCTCTGCTTACCAGTTAGAATTTTAAGTCATGAAACATGGCTGTTAAATAGTAACGTCACATTTAAAAAAATATAGTTCATGCCTTGGATGCATAAGATGTAGATGGCTTTTGTTAGTTCTAATATGTTTTAATTTTTCTTTTTTTTAGGTGTATGATAATATTCTGGGTCATGCTAAGGAACATTTGGCATCCATAAACCACCTCATTAATGTCACCTTACTGCCAGGAATATCTGACAGCAGCACAGCGAAGCACCACCCAATGCTGACTGGAGCCAAGCTGAAAAAAGAACTCTGTCTCATCTACAAACAAGATGAGTTCAAATGCTGCTGTCAATCAATTCCTGTTGTTTCTAGATAAAAATCTAGAAAAGGTATTTACAGAGATTGTACCACTCCTTAACTTCCTCATCAACGCACTCGTGACCACAGAAGAATGTGAGAGGCGATTATAGATATAGAAAAGAGTTAAAACATTTCTCAGAAAGGCTCTCTCATGCATGGGCCATGTTGTCAATGGAGAAGAGAGGTTAGTGAAATGCCTACAGTTGTCATGATTGGCTTAGGGATTAAACCCACATTCAGAACACCACTGGAGACTGATAAAAAGTTCAACAGAGTTTATTGAAAGTTTTCACAAAAACAATAATGTGGACTGGATTCAGGACAACTGGTCCGGGCAGGATTCTCTGGCGTCTGCAGAGACGGATAGTTTGATTAGCCAGTTAAATGGGCGAATAGTAGAATTTCAGATGTTTCTGGAAATACCTTGAAGAGGTTCAGGCTTTCTCCTTGAGAGAGGGAACCAGTTGGGTCCAGAGACTGTTGGTTCAGCAGAGTGCTCAGCAGCTGCAGCGTCTAGCTTCTGACTTTCCAGTGACAGACCTTGGTTTAACTGATCAGCTCTTTCCCTGAGAGCAGCAGATGGATTCCAGAGTGTGATCTTCAGGTTTGGCTCTCTAGGGCAGGCAGGCAGGTAACAGGCTAAGCTCATCCAGAGCTTCAGGCAAGAGACAGGTTTCCTGTGAGTGAGAAGACAGAGGCAGGTTAGGATTGGGTTTCTCTTGAGAGACAAAGATTCTAGTAATCACAGAGGCTCTGGTTTGCTAACCAAACTTGGTCAACACTGTGGCGTCGAAGGAAGGTCTGGCAGCTGCTTAAGTAGGCAGGTCTCCTGATGGGCTGATGAGCGTCAGCTGTGCTGGAGGGCTCCAGCCCAGGAGATCCACAGCGCACTCTGCTGGAGAAGGTGGAGAATCTCCAGATCCCAACAACAGTAACTTCAACCAAATGTAACTGAAAGACTTGCATGACCAAAGGAAAGGACCAAAGTTATGTTTAAGTAGTGTCACTACCAAAAGTTAAGTGAGTGAATACTATGAATATGTTTATTTTGCTCTTGGAGTATTTGACTTAAATGTGACGGGATAGATAACAGTTATTTTGGCCTTCAATGGCCTTGAAAATGGCTGAGGGTCATAAAAGAAAAAGTGTCTATGAAGTGTATGAGAAGAAGAGAAAGGCCTCCGAAGAGACAAACAAGACCAGAGTGTTTTTAGTAGATTCTTTCACGCGATGGCGTACACTGAAAGCACAGGTTGGGCTTCCCACTGATGCAGAAGTTGCAATGTTTCTACTCCACAGGTAAAGTTTGGCATGCTATTTGGAGAAATCCATTTCATGTCACTCCAAGTAAAAGTAATCTACCTTTATATTGTAACTTTCCAGGGAAGATAAGTTTATTATTTTGTAATTTGTGTCATTAGTAGTTTGTGGCCACAGATTTCCATCATGTTGAGTTTTAAACCATTGCTTGGAAAAATAAAACCATTTGTTTGCGTCTAAAATTTTCCAAAAAGACCATAAAGATCATTAGCCTTGGAACGCTGCGAACACAAAGAGAAGCAGTCATCGTTTAAAAAATTTTTTTACTTTGTATGTTAGGTTGGAACTCTCACATGCTTTTAAATCATGTTGCCACATATCAGTCACGATGCAATTCCTGTCAAAAGCTTGAAGTCACAGTTCTCTGATTTGATGTTAATCCCATATTTTAAGACCATCTCTTTCAGTGAACATGAGAGTAATCCTAGGATCTAAATGATAACCCTCCCTGACAGATCTGACATTTGCAGAACAAATATTTCAATCTGAAAAATGCACATGAAGAGAAAAGACAATTAGAAGACCATTGAAACCATTGCTTGGAAATATGTAACCCGTTTGTTTGTGTCTAAAATTTTCCCTTGGGACACCTGCCAAAATCACAGCTGACCGTAAAGCTCATTAAGCTCGGAACGCTGCCAACACAAAGAGAAGCAGTCATTGTTTAAAAAAAATTTGTTTTCATTTCATGTGTGTCAAATTTCACATGATATGTTAGGGTGGAGCTCTCACATCCTTTTAAATCACGTTTCCAGGAATCAGTCACGATGCAATTCCTGTCAAGTCAAGAGGTTGAAGTCACAGTTCTCTGATTTGATGTTAATCCCATATTTTAAAAGTGTGAAGACCATCTCTTTCAGTCAACAAGAGAGTAATCCTAAAATCTAAATGATAACCCTCCCTGACAGATTTGATATTTGCAGACCAAATATTTCAATCTGAAAAACACACATGAAGAAAAAAGACAAGTAGAAGAAATATATATACATTTACTTTGTCTTTGGTGCTCAGACCTTGGCAAGAAAACATAGAACTTAATTTTGATAAATATGCATGAACTGGAGTAAAGAATGGGGCTGTTCCCCCCCCAGGCCTGAAACTGGTGGTGGAGTGGAGATAGATGGAGTTGGTCAGTCTATAGACTGCTGGGTAGTGAGATGGTCTGCTGAGCTTTATGGGGAGATCCAGTGGACTGCATGAGCTGATACTAGAGCTTCACTCAATGACCTGGAAGATAGAAGTCTAGTTCGGTAACACAGGTTGAGAGAACCTGTCCAAGATGAGCAAGCATGAAGCCACAGTAGGGAGGAAAACTCGCCGTTAGGAAGAAACCTCTGGCAGAACCAGGCTCAACCGGTTGAGATGAGACCGGGAACGCAGTAAGGGTCCAGGAGGAATGACACACTGATCAAGCTTTAGCTACAATGGTGGATGAGGGGCTTAAAATGCGGTTTAAATGAGGTCATCTCAATAAAGTCAAACAGTGCAACTACCGCCTGCGCACAGGAGCAGACAAGTGGCGGATCGGAGGCCTTTTAAGATGAACTTTGGACTGAACCCTGAAATTTATAGGATGTTTACTGAGACTGCAAGTCTGAATTTTTCATGTTGTTTTTGATCTCTAGAGCAGTCTCAGCTGTTGTAACAAGGGACTCCTGATTTCTAATAAATAGCGAGCAGAACGCTGGGACTGCAGAGTGAGGTGGAGATTGTAAACTCTGCAGTCTCTTCCTACTCTCCACGCGATTATAAATATAATTGATTGTCTCTGTGCCTTCTCTTCTTTCCCTGCATGTATGTATGATGTTTTAGGTGCTTAGACCTGACAGCTCCATATCACCAGACTTTAAAGATTTGGACCAACTTAAAACCTGAATTCTTCCATCATGTGGACACTGATTTCATGCCTTCATCTCTGGGCTCCATAAACCGAAAGCTCTGTGTACCATCATGAAACCGGTTTTACTTTACGCTTTCCATTACTGTTTGGTCTGCAGAAAGGTCAAACCAGAAATATTTTCAAAGTTGTTTTTTTATGTAATAGCTGGACTCTAATTAGGAATTATTTTAATTGAACAGTTTGTTACTGCAGTAAAACAAATATTGTATTTAATAACCTGACAAATAAATAGGGAGCTATAAGGTGTTGATGCTGGAAGATGGGTGTGTAGGATTTTCAAAACAGTGAAAGAAATGCTGGCCAAGCTGCCAGAGATTATTTTGAAGTAAGAAGGATGATTCTCAGAGCCTGCCTGTACACAACAGAATGCAGGCGGCATATTTTAACTAACTCTTTGGGTGTGTTACTATTCTTCAAAAATAGAAGCATTGTTTCCACATTTCTTTGTTTGAGTCCAAATGATGATATGATGATGAGTCCAAATGATGATAATTATGATATTTGTGATATTTATTTTATTTTTCTGATAGATAGATAGATAGATAGATAGATGATAGATAGATAGATAGATAGATAGATAGATAGATAGATAGATAGATAGATAGATAGATAGATAGATAGATAGATAGATAGATAGATAGATAGATAGATAGATAGATAGATAGATAGATAGATAGATAGATAGATAGATAGATAGATAGATAGATAGATAGAGAAAATTAGATATAGAAAATTTCTCCACATACCAGGAGGCACCCAACGATGAAGACCAGATTCAGGCCCAGATTCAGACCTGGACCAAATGCTGAAATTAAGAAAATAAATTAAAAATATATAATGTAAAATCACATTACGGAGAAAACTAATAATTTCTTTGATGACAAAGGTCCTTTGCAGTTCAGCTGAGAGCCACACTGTGACGCTACCACATACCAGAGGTGTACACATGAAGTGGGTAAATTTGGCCCAATTTTTAAGTAGTTAAATTATTTAGCAGTTCAGTCCATCCTCTAAATCATAGGCAGAATAAGCAGATGCACTGCCAACGACGGTGCATCTGCCAACGGGGACACTCTGGACGGCTCTGAGCCGTCCAGAGTGTCCCCAATGCAGCAGCCCCAGTGAGCAAGCAGGACTCCAATCCAGGAAGGATTCAGTTCAGACTGGAGTTGTTCTTCTGGAATCCAGGAGTCCGGTCAGGGGTTCCAAACCACACAGAAACGGACAGATCCGGGTTAGGAATCCAGAGCGTGAAGGCAGGTTCAGAGTCCCGTGGATCGATTAACCAGCTCAGACGGAAACGCACCTGGGAGGACTGGTTCTGGTAGTCCTGTTGTTGTGATTTTCTGTATATTCAATTCCCATCCAGGTTGGATGTCATATTTATCTTGTGAATAACTGTTATATTCAATTCCAAGCCAGCTGGGAATTCATATTTTCTGATACTTTAAGATGTTTGTTGTCCTCTCCGGTTGGGGAGGTAAATATCTTATTTATTTAGATATTATTTGGGCTGTTATATGTTTATGAACACACGCCCTACTAGCTGTGTGTTAGAACAATAAATGAAAGAGTGATTCGAGCTCTAATCATGGCCAAACAGTTAATTCTGCACATACATGGAATAAATTTACCACAACTTCTGTTTAAAATCATTCAGCTCCAAATCAAACTTATTTCAGTTTAAAACTCTTAACTAAAACTAGTGAAACTCAGCTAAACTAAACTACTATGTACAAAGAAGAAGGGAAACATGGTTGAAAACCATATTACAGTTTAAGGTGGATCTTGTGTTTGAAAACCAAAGTTTATCTGTAAGAATTTGGGATGTGATCAAATTCTTGTTTTCACTAATAGAGAAATTGGAATGTTTTCAGACCAATTCACAAAGCAAATCCATGAGATGAATAAAACATTATTTGGCCAAATAATGTTTTATTAAATGATTTGCTTAATCAAGAACCAATAACTTTTAGTTAATGATTCTTTACCCTCTTTGAAATACACTATATTGCCAAAAGTATTTGCTCACCTGCCTTGACTCACATATGAGCTTAAGTGACATCCCGTTCCTAATCCATAGGGTTCAATATGACGTCGGTCCACCCTTTGCAGCTAGAACAGCTTCAACTCTTCTGGGAAGGCTGTCCACAAGGTTTAGGAGTGTGTTTATGGGAATTTTTGACCATTCTTCCAGAAGCGCATTTGTGAGGTCGCACACTGATGTTGGACGAGAAGGCCTGGCTCTCAGTCTCCGCTCTAATTCATCCCAAAGGTGTTCTATCGGGTTGAGGTCAGGACTCTGTGCAGGCCAGTCAAGTTCATCCACACCAGACTCTGTCATCCATGTCTTTATGGACCTTGCTTTGTGCACTGGTGCACAGTCATGTTGGAAGAGGAAGGGGCCAGCTCCAAACTGTTCCCACAAAGTTGGGAGCATGGAATTGTCCAAAATGTCTTGGTATGCTGAAGCATTCAGAGTTCCTTTCACTGGAACTAAGGGGCCAAGCCCAGCTCCTGAAAAACAACCCCACACCATAATCCCCCCTCCACCAAACTTTACACTTGGCACAATGCAGTCAGACAAGTACCGTTCTCCTGGCAACCGCCAAACCCAGACCCGTCCATCAGATTGCCAGATGGAGAAGCGCGATTCGTCACTCCAGAGAACGCGTCTCCACTGCTCTAGAGTCCAGTGGCGGCGTGCTTTACACCACCGCATCCGACGCTTTGCATTGCACTTGGTGATGTATGGCTTGGATGCAGCTGCTCGACCATGGAAACCCATTCCATGAAGCTCTCTGCGCACTGTTCTTGAGCTAATCTGAAGGCCACATGAAGTTTGGAGGTCTGTAGTGATTGACTCTGCAGAAAGTTGGCGACCTCTTCGCACTATGCGCGTCAGCATCCGCTGACCCCGCTCCGTCAGTTTACGTGGCCTACCACTTCGTGGCTGAGTTGCTGTCGTTCCCAAACACTTCCATTTTCTTATAATACAGCTGACAGTTGACTGTGGAATATTTAGGAGCGAGGAAATTTCACGACTGGATTTGTTGCACAGGTGGCATCCTATCACAGTTCCACGCTGGAATTCACTGAGCTCCTGAGAGCGACCCATTCTTTCACAAATGTTTGTAAAAACAGTCTGCATGCCTAGGTGCTTGAATTTATACACCTGTGGCCATGGAAGTGATTGGAACACCTGATTCCAATAATTTGGATGGGTGAGCAAATACTTTTGGCAATATAGTGTAGCTAGCAGCAAATAGACATCAGGATTCCATTAAATTACTTCTAACATTCTGCTCTCTCTGCTTTTTCTCATAGTAGCTTCGCCTCATCTGTTCCTGTTTGGCAATATTTTGACACCACCCTGGAGAGAAATATCAGCTGAGCTGCTGCCATTAACACCTTTGTTTATAGATTTTGGAGATCAACCTGTTTTTCCAATGTAGTCCTGTTTCTCTGACTGTGACTGGCTGGATGTGCTCTCTTCACCCTCTGACATGGGCGTTGGCTCGGAGCTCGACTGCCTGGCTGTTTCCTGGACAGGGCTGCTTTTTACAGCTGCTTTTTGTATCTCTGCTTCTGTCTCCTTGAACCCCAGTCTGCCTCAGCAGATCACAATGAGCCTGGATCTGCTGGAGGTTTCTTCGTGTTAAAAGGGAGTCTTTCCTCTCCACTGTCGCTACAAGCATGCTTAGTATGAGGGATTGCGTTCAAGTCAATGAGTCAATGCAATCAACAGGTTTTCTTTAGCCAGAGCACTTTGAATCAATTTGACTGTATGATCTGGTGAACTGTAAAGTGCCTTGAGACGACATGTGTCAAAAATATGGACTATATAAATAAACTGAATTGAATTGAATTTACATGTAATACTTTGTTTGCGCCTTTTGCTTTTTTACTTCTTAGCCAGGACATCCTTGTAAAATGATTTCAAACCTCTATAGATTTTTTTACCTGGTAAAATAATGGTAAAATAAATAATAATAATAATAATAAAAAAAAAATATATAAAAAAAACTAATCTGGAGAGATTATAAGAACAAAAACCCCAGAATCTGAATTTTAATTTTTCTGACATCTTTCAGAGGAAGAGGGTCTAGAAGTAGAACAAAGTGCAGACAGGAAGGTATATAGGAAGGCAGAGGCAACATGGTTAGCTGAGAAGTTTTTAATGACTGAAATACGAAGCTCACATACATGGGCAGTAGAAACATGGCATTGCAGAATAAACCCATAAGAAGTAGTTGAAATTGACCAGTATATAAAGCATAACAAACTGGGGGCTTGCCTAAATATGTTTGAAAATACAACATTTGGATCAAGGGGGGAGAGATGAGAGAACTATAGAATAATACCATCTAGGTAAGGCAGTGGCAGGGCCAAAAAAAAAATTTTTAAATGGGTGGCTAGGCAAGGACCAATGTGCACTGTGGGGTGGCAGAAAACGAAAGGGCACCAAAACCAGTTTAGGATCAGGCCAAACTAATAGTGTACTAGTTTTTTGCTCAGTGTATATTTATTATACGAACGACTGAAAAATCAAGTAAGATAGGACATGCCAACCGAGAGTATCAGTGCTGCCACCCTTTGTTATACATTATGCTGGAGTTAAATTACAGTATGGCCACCTCTACCCCCACTTTTAGCTCTGCCCTGAAGTAAAGGGTACTAACACAAATAAATCCAAGTAAAGTGAAGAAGAATAAAATACACTAGGAAGCTAAAATTAAAGAAAATCATTTACACAAAAACATCTAATATACGCATGGAAAAATTATCTAATATGGCATAACCTATAAGGCAAAAAAGAAAATATGACCAGAACTAACAGAAATATCTCAAGCTAAGAGCTAGAAAGTGTACATTTACATATGAAGGAAAATTTAAAAGCTCTGACAACCCAATATCATAATAAAAAGAATAAAATCAAAATCCAGATTCCTAATCCATTGGTTGGTCAGGGTCGACTGGAGAATCAGCTGATGGCAGACGTTGGTATTTAGCTCTGGGCCTTCTGAATCGGTAGATGATGACACCGCAAGCCAAAAGGCAGCAAACAATGAAGACCAGATTCAGGGCAAGATACATGCTCTGGCCAGGTTCTGAAACAGAGTAAAATGGATTATTTATTAGTATAGCAGGCTGTATGTTCTCTCAGACTAAATACAAAATAAAAGCTAAAAAGAATATTATACTATAGAAAATCCCCTGCTAATGATTCAGTACATGAAAAATAATCAGGTTATGAGTGTGAATGAAAAGGTAAAAATGAAAAATTGAAGAAAAACTAAATCCTGAGAGGTTATTTCTTTTATACTTATAAAGTATGCTATAAAAGTATTTTCTAAATCTACTGTGGAGCCCATGGATTAAGGGGCATTAGTGGAGAAGTTGACGATAAACTGAGTGTAAGAACATGCTCACCTTTGATGTTAGAGGTCTTCACGAGGTGCAAAGGACCCTGGGAAATGAAGTGGCTGCTCGTCTGCGCTGCAGCATCCCTCTTCCTACGTTTGTCCCATGAGTCGGATTCGATGCATCCCTGAGAGCACCTGGCCTCGGGATTGTCACTTTCACACAGGAGAACCGAACAAGTGATGTAGACCTGCAGCCACATATAACTGAAATCAGCCACAGTTTTAACATTTCTTCTTAAAGACATAAATAAAAATTCTGGGAGCTATAGTAAAACAAACATAAATCTGTTTTATATGCTTTTGGATGTTGGACAATGTTGTTAAGAATATAAAAAAACACTCAAGAAGAAGTGAATGTAAATTAAGCTTCACATTCAATTTTTAAACTTAAAAACACTCTGAGATGAAGACTTATAACACAAGCTCAGCTGTATGCTAAATATGTCCAGTGCAGTGAAGAACCACGTAATTACCTGAATATAAGAAAACCCTGATTAAAGGACGACCCTGATTGTAGGACGACCCCCTCTATCCAGTGTGTGGGTGAATGGATGAATGAATGTAGTGTAAAGCGCTTTGGTCAAGTCTCCTGACTTGAAAAAAGATGCTATATAAGTACATGCCATTTACCATCCAGGACCAGTTTTTAGGTAAAAAACAAAAAGACCAAAAAGAAAAACAAAGTGATGAACCCAATGTATTCAGTTTACAGAAACTATTTTCTATTGAAGTGCTAACAATTTCAGTGAAATAAAATTATAAATGCATTATTTGTGCAAGTAAACAATAAAAAGTAAAAAAAAACACAGTAATGACATTTAATTGAAATTTGCAACACTTCAACTTGAATGTAATCTGAACTTTGCTCACAGAACGTCTTGAAAACCTCCATGAGGCTTTTCCTCAGAGATGTGTTATGCCTCTCTAACCTGACTCCACCAGATGGATTTGCTCCGCATATCTATCTGAAAACCTTCCGCTGCAGTAATTTTGGGAAGGGGCGAAAATACTGGTTATCTGATTGGCCTATGTTGATGATAGACGGGCCAAATAAACCAATCAGATCAACGAAGCATATGACGTACTAACAGACCGACGACGAAAACACAACCACAAGCCAGACTGCTCTTGCCGAAACCAGTCGGGAGAAGAGCAAAAGCACCTTTTCCTCAGAGAAAAGCCTCCAGAGCAGTGTTTTGCGCTTCTTTCAGTGAAGAAATACTCTGTAATTCCGATAAAACTTGCTCGATAGCCACGCTAACACTAGTTTCATCGGCTGAAGCCGCCATGTTCTTTAGACTTAACTGTCGAGCTTCTCGTTACGTCATACCTCAACCCGCCTCAAAGCCAACGTTGATTGGACTTTCGTTTGGTGAACAGCTCCAAATTTTCTTCAACGGAGAGTCTCCAGACTGATCTGCGAGTGAAATCTTGAAAGCTCGCGAGATCAGGATGGTCTCACGAGGCTAATTCTTCCCTGCTGTGATAGAAAGATAATCCCAGCCACAGGGAGGTCACTGGCTTTACAAAAAACTGGCGCCCTCTGTTGTTTGTTTGTGTATTGACCCCAGACAAAAAAAAGGTAATGATATGGTATTAAATATGGTATTTAGAGCTCTACATGGAGAAACTGAACCAACGCAAAGGGACCAACACAGCAAAGCAAACTCAGAGGATCAACAAAACAGCTGGTGAATTACATCTCATTCGAATTATGCAGTTATGGTTTGTGATGTCCGGTGTCCTGCACCTTTTAGATGTCTCTGCTTCCACACCTGATTAAATTATCTCAAAGCACACTGTCAAGTTTTCCAGAATCCTGCTAATGTGAGGATTATTATACTCTGGTGTGTTGAAGCAGGGAAATATCTAAAATGTGCAGGATGCTGGACTTTAAAGACCGGAAGTGATGAATCCTGGTCTATACAGTGGCTCAGGATGAAGGGATTTGTCCTGGATATGGTGGGTTGTTTTTGTTGCTTGAAGCTCCTGTCCCTTATTTCTCAATGACTTTGTCCTTGGGCTGTTATGATTCTGGCCTGTCTGCCTGCTCTGCTCTCCCTGTGAGCGATCATCTCCAGCTGCTGCACTACAGTGCAATCAGCAGAATTTCTCTCAGCTGTGTTTAAGCAGTTATAAGGCAGCCTGTGCAGGTAGACCGGGCCAGATAATTGCAAACCAACTTGCAAGCAGTATCCAGCACTTAAGGTTACCTGACCAAGTCTTTGCTTCATGGATTTCCCCTTTTTGCCTAGCCGTCTTTGGATTTCTCTGCCCTTTGGACAACGAACCTGTTTCTGCCTCTTGACTTCTGCCTCCTGCCAAGCTCCCTGATCTCTCAGCCTGAGTCTGGCTTCCAGGACCTAAATTTTGCCTCTGAGCTCCAAGCCACCCAACCGTTTGCCACCCAACAACAGATTAAAGGAGCGATCTGCTCTATTCAAGCTGCTGATCTTACTGAAGGGAGGACTTTTTAAAGGTTAGTGGTTTTGTTGGTTTCATGCTTTTCGTTATTTGAACTCCTTTAAGCCACTAACCTAAACTGAATACTGAGCCTGGTTCTGCTGGAGGTTTCTTCCTGTTAAAAGGGAGTTTTTCCTCTCCACTGTCGCTACAAGCATGCTTAGTGTGAGGGATTGTATTTGAGTCAATGAGTCAATGCAATCAACTGGTTTTCCTTAGATAGAAAACTTTGAATCAATTTGACTGTATGATGTGGTTGAACTGTAAAGTGCCTTGAGATGACATGTGTTGTGAATTTGGCGCTATATAAATAAACTGAATTGAATTAAGCAAATGCAACACTTTAGTGACAGAAGCTACAGTCTCTACTCGCCATCTTATCAGTAACCAAGTTTCCTAACTTTGAGAAAACAAATTCTCCAAAAAAGGGCTTTCAGATACCATCAGTAATGAATTAAAGACTCCAATTTTCTAAAAAGTAGATTTACTTTGTTAACGTCCCACACTCTTATGTTGGAATTAATGAATGTTTAAACAATATTACTTTACCTCCTCATGAGCTCCGATGAACTCAAAAGCTTCCATTCCAAATCTGAACTGAGACTTTGACGCAGAATAAATTTCCACAGTTTTATCCTTCACACATCTGTAACAACCCATGGAAATGTATCAGATAAAGAAGATGGTTCAGGGTAATGTTAGAGAATTATTTGTTTTTATTTTTCTTACCCGTTTTCAATGATGGTGTAGCTGATGCGGGAGTTGGGGTTGTCATAGGGAGTCGCCCTGCAGGACTCCACAAACAGCTCAGTGTTGGGGATGGATGTGTCGGCCTCAATCTGCATGTAGATCTTCTGCTTTAGGTAAACTTCCAGCGGGTAGCTGCTGGTGTCCACCTGCTTCCTGAAACGCTGGCTCTCAAAGAACTCAAACTGGAAGGTGAAGGCACCAAAGCCTTTTTCTCTGAAGGCATATGGGTTTTTGTGTGTGAAACCCAGAGTTAGGTTGGTGCGCTTTGGATAGGAGCAGGAGAAGCTGATCTCAACCTCATGCTCCCTGGAGATTATTACGTCAGGGTTTGCTGATGTAATCACGTTCTCAAAGATTATATTGTTGTCATCTTCCTGATAAGGATATGAAATAAAGAGAGTAAAAAAAAACTCTGTTTTACATTAGAAAACATCTCAAATGCCTTATTTTTTCACTCCATCTAATAACTAAAAAAGGCTGAAGAGGCTGCACAAATTTCACATATTTTATTGTTATTGGAAAATAAAGCAATATTTTGATGTATCTGTGTTGGAGTTATTATGATTTCTGTTGTTTTTATCATTTCATTCATTTATATGTTTTATATTGCTTTTAATAATTTCTTTTGCTATGATACTCTCATCAGTGGAAAGAGTGTATGCAGGTCATAAGACGGTCAAATGTTTTGCAAGAAAGCTTTCCTGTTTTTCATTTGAGAAAAACAGAAAGGGAAGTTCATGACACCTTTTTTAAAAGCGTATACTGAAACCAGATATGTTCCCTATCTTAAAAGTTCATGGTAATGTCTAAGAGATTGCGTAATCAAAACTAACACCTGCTGTTGTAATGTGTTGACTGCTCAATAAATAAGCCTGCAAGCGTGGAGCAAGACGAAAGTGCACAGAGAGATCCCAAAGCTCTGTGTATTTTCCCTTTGCAAAGCATGGTCAGGAAAAATCTTACACTGTCTTTGTTTATTTCTTTATAGGTTAGTGTTGGGGAAACTTAACAACCCTAACAATCTTCTTAAAAACTAATCTTAACTGTGTTTGGAGTCCACTAGCAACTAATTAATGTTTTTAATTATTGTTCTTTTTTGTACTTTCTTAACTTATCTTTGATAACTACCACTCCTTGTTCTGTATTCCTGTTTCCCTGTATATCCAGCACCTGAAGTTAAGCTTCAAACATCCCAACCCTACAGTAGTTATTTAGGGAAAGATCAAATTATAAGCTGGTCTAATCTCTGGTAGCAGAGCAAGATAGATGGAATATAGGTCTAGTTAGATGTGAGGTTTCTTGTTTTGTCTGCTGTACCTCAATTCGGGTCCCACAGCTGTTCAGGGGCATGACAGCTACCAGGTGGGTCATATTTGAATGACGTCTCAGGCTGCAGGAAGCATCCGATGAGTCAAACAGATGCAGACTGTTTTCTTTGCGTTTGATTAAGGAATTTTTGGCTACTTCGACAGTCATTGATGTTTCATTGCAGGTCACAATGCTATCTGCATAGTGTAGGAAAAGACAGTCATAAGTTATAATTCTGATCAGAGTGAAGAATTCTTCTACATAAATAAACCTTAAATGTTGCTTTATCTTACCATGACGTTCAACTGAAACAGTCAAACACCGCAGCTCTGAATGGAAGACCCTTTGTTGTCTAAAAAGTAGGAAATTATCATTTATTCAGAGAAGAAAGCTTTACAGTTTTTCATATTGTTTGGTTTTACATAGAGTAAAAAATTTGGTTATACAAACACAGGTCTTAGGGATATAGTAAAGTGATGACATGTCTCGGTGCATGTTGTTATTAAAAAAATTGGTTGTCTGGATGCTGTCCTGAAAACAATGTGGGCTATACCCCTTAGGTTTTGTAGAAGCAGTTTTATTGTCTTATATCAGAATCAGAAATTAGAATCAGAATATATCCTACAACATGGTCCTATACTTACTTAGCAACAAAACTTAAAGGTCAGTTTTGAGTCTTAGTAACATCATGGTCTCCAAGGCTGCATGAGGGGGTTTGGCAAAAACAGAACAACTGTATAAACATTCCTTGAGGGTCGCAGTGACTTTGACGCAAACCAACCCACGTGAATTCCAGTAAGCTTTCGACATGATATCCCTGTGCATGTGCAGTTACGTAATGCCATGTGGAAACTATAAATGCCGGTTCAGATGGACTGAAGGTTGGGGGAATTAACTGAGATGTGACGATGCATTGCTGAATGTATGAAGTTTTTAAGACAGCTGTATGAATTCGGTTTTGTAAATAAATGTTCCCCCCTCCGGATGATGGAATGGTGTGAATCGTTGGCCTTCTTTCTGTCATAAGGGAATTCTACCAATGAGCTTCCATAGTTTTTGTTATTGTTTTGAGGTCATGCCTTAGAAAATAAACTTTGCTCCCTATGTGCCTTTAGATTAATTCTTACAAGTGTAATTAAAATCTTGCTTTTTAAATGACTGTAATTATCAAATCAGATGTTAGCCTTACCCATCTATTGCTTCAGACACAAAGCAAATTGGAAAGTGATTATGCAGCTCAGAGTCATTTGGTGTCCATTTTATGATGTATGTGTCTTCTGAAACCTTTTCCTTAGAAATGTGTTGTGGTCCTGTCACAATAAGATTATCAATCCTAAGAGAAAAAACAATGTTCATAATTAAGTGTTCTTTACATTAAGCTAAATAGAGAAAATCATAAAGTGAAACAATTACATCAGCTCAAATGAGGTGACTTTTAAGAGTGAGATGATACTGATGATACTTACATTGCATACTGAGCCTTGGACCTGACTTTGATGTCAAATCTTTCATTTACAAAGGCAGGTAGATTGGCACCATTAGGAGGAGTTGGTGGCAAAAATAGTGGGAAGTAATCGCCATCATCACATGAAGGGATGACGTAATCATCCACTAAAATTCAGGAAAGCAGACAGACAGTTACAAATGGATAAGAGAAATATTGAAACAAAAGATAAATTTTATGTATTATTTGTATGCCTACCATAAACTGTAAAATCCAGAGGAATTATGCTTAAAGGACGAATTGTTGATCGATACAAGGGGGTGGTGGTATATGAAGCTGTGGTGGTTGGTGCGGCTGTGGTGGTTAGAGCTGCTGTAGTTGTTGGTGCGGCTGTGGTTGTTGGTGCGGCTGTGGTGGTTGGTGCGGCTGTGGTGGTTGGTGCGGCTGTGGTGGTTAGAGCTGCTGTAGTTGTTGGTGCGGCTGTAGTTGTTGGTGCGGCTGTGGTGGTTGGTGCGGCTGTGGTGGTTGGAGCGGCTGTGGTTGTTGGTGCGGCTGTGGTGGTTGGAGCGGCTGTGGTTGTTAGTGCGGCTGTGGTGGTTGGAGCGGCTGTGGTGGTTGGTGCGGCTGTGGTGGTTGGAGCTGCTGTGGTTGTTGGTGCGGCTGTGGTGGTTGGAGCTGCTGTGGTTGTTGGTGCGGCTGTGGTGGTTGGAGCTGCTGTGGTTGTTGGAGCGGCTGTGGTTGTTGGAGCGGCTTGGGTGGTTGGAGCGGCTGTGGTGGTTGGAGCGGCTGTGGTTGTTGGTGCGGCTGTGGTGGTTGGTGCGGCTGTGGTGGTTGGTGCGGCTGTGGTGGTTGGAGCGGCTGTGGTGGTTGGTGCGGCTGTGGTGGTTGGTGCGGCTGTGGTGGTTGGAGCGGCTGTGGTGGTTGGTGCGGCTGTGGTGGTTGGTGCGGCTGTGGTTGTTGGTGCGGCTGTGGTGGTTGGTGCGGCTGTGGTTGAAAGATAATAAGTGGGGGATCGACGCTTTCGGTCCATAACTGGTTGCGGCCGTTTTGTTGTGTAGGATCCATCAGAGTAGGACACTGTGATATCTTTGTTGGGAAAGTCCTCAAACACAAGCTCAATAGGGTGGTATCCAGTGTAGTCACTGTATTCATATGTAAGAGAGCAGGAGTTCTGACAAAGAAAGACATGTCATCATTAGACAGTTGGTGGTAAGAAATGCGTGGCAGATGCTTTTAGTTTTTATGAGGGATCATTCCTATCTGCTTTTATCTTATTTTTGATTGTTCTGTTGGTTGACCCTTGCAACTGTTAAGCTGTTTAACATAGATATATGTTTAGGTTTTAAACAGATCAGCAGTCTGATCATATATATATACAGTATATAGTCTCATGATAGAGGGTCTGTTGACAGATCCCAGGATTTGTGAGAGCAAGTATTCACAATGCTCTCTGGGAATAAACACAAAACTGCACTGGTTGTTAGGATTTTGCCTTCAAGGTTGCCATTTTGCCGTTCCAATTCTGCATTTGAGATTGCTTAATAAATACTCCGATTTGACTATTTGAAGTTGTATTTTTTTCCAAAAGCAGATGTGTTTAACTATTTTCCATGTCCCACTGCCTGCTCTCACTAAAGACAGTCAGATTCAATTGCTCTGATTGTCCAGACGAAATAGACACCAGTTCCAAATGAACGGTTGAAGGTGCATGCGTTCTTTGAGCTGATGGAACTCACTCCACCACTTTTATTGACTTTAAATTTAATGTAAAATTGCATACAATAAAGCTTTAAGAGCAAGGTTGTGACTGGTTCTTCAAATTTACATTATTGCAGTTGGACCTTACCATATCTAGAGAGAATCCGCTGTCAAGACGGCAAAATCCACATGCCTCATGAGGAACGTATCTATGTACTGGTGCTCTGCAGCTCACACGATCCCCATCAGGATCAAAAACAGTCAGATTGATCTTTCGAGGACACTGCTTTGTCACTCTGTAACATAAAATACAACAAAATTGACAATATTGTATCTAAAAGGAATGATCTCAGTCAATAAAGGTCACAGAATATTAATGATATCTGAGTGTGGCCAAAGGAGCAGGACTCCCACCTGATGTTCTCAGACAGATCTACCTGACCTCCATTAGGCCTGTTCTAGAGAATGTCAGCCCAGTTTTGGGTGGACTGACCAAAGGCTTTGCAGATTAATTTCAATGTGTGCAAGAAAGGTGCTTTAAAATTATTATCCAAGTAATTTCCAAGTATTATCCAAATTGTACTTTTTAGTTTATGTAACATACATATAAACTAACATATCTGTGCCCCCTCTGGATTCAGCGGCTCATAAATGTATGTCTCAGAGCTGGTGAGCACAGTAGAGAAAAGTCCTTGCATTGTTATTAGTCCATCGGCCCATCTGTTAATCACACCCAAGACCCCTCAACCCACCCATTAGGCCTATTCCCACCCTCCTTTAGGCCTATTCTCAAATAGTATATGTTGGCAAAATAATTTTCTGGTAAAGGGTGTCATTTGTTTTAAACATATCTAACATAATTTGAAACCTTTAAGTAAAAAAAAGAACAAGAAAAGTTAATACAAAAATAAATAAATACAAACACATAACTTCATTGTAAATTAATTTCCATAAAAGCTGGTAAATGTTGCACTTATTTTTCTGTTTTTACAAAGCTGCAGAAGCCAATCAGTATTAGAAGGTCTGGCAAGCTTAATAATTGATGGCAATGCGATAAATCAATCCATCCATCCATCCATCCATTTTTGTCATGCTTATCCCAAGCAGGGTCACGAGAAGTGCTGGTGGCTGTCTCCAGCTGTCTACTGGCCAGAGGTGTGGTACACACTGCACAGGTCGCCAGTTTATCACAGGGCAACACAGAGTCAAACAGGACAAACATCCATTTACGCACACACCTAAGAAAAATTTAGAGAAGCCATTTAACCTAACAGTCATGTCTTTGGACTGTGGGAGGAAGCCGGAGTAACCGGAGAGAACCCACACATGCTCAGGGATAACATACAAACTCCATGCAGAAAGACCCTGAGTCGGGAATTGAATCCGAAACCTTCTTGCTGCAAGGCAGGCAGCAGTGCCCCACTGAGCAGCCCGCGATAAATTAATTTTTAAGAAAAAAAATATATTATTTTTGAACTTACCGAATAATCGGGACGATGGTTGTGATAGGAGGTTGGTTTGGTTTGCCGGTATCAGATCTGGTTCCCGGATCCACGTATGTTAACATTGTCCATTTAATTTGTGGGCCTACAGCATTGTCTATCCAGTAGCCCCTCCTCCAGAACCAGTTGTACCTTGTTGGATAGCTGATGGAAGAAAAGTTAAGTAAAAATGGCTTTCAGGTAAATCACTGGCAGTTGAAATTTATTGCAAAGCTTAAATACATGTTGCACTTAAATGTTTGAAGTTCAGTTAAAATAAATTAATATTTTCTGTCTTGCCTAACTTGAAAAGGCAAGTTGGTGTTGAGTTTCCTCCTTGATACTTTAACAAGTTGTCGCCAGGTGAGATTAAATGAATCGCTGTCAATTGTGGTGAATGTGGAGGTCTCCACCCCACAGTCACCAAATGTGCAACCATGCCAGTCCACATGGCCTTCATATCCAGTTAGCTTAATGCGAAATTCCACCTAAAAGAACAGAATGTTAAATTAATGGAGTACAGTTTTATACAATTCAGTGTTCTTTTTAATATAAACAAAACAGTGTGAAGCTTTTTTGCTGCAGAATTTTTAAATGGGAAGAAACTTAATATCTGTCAAAAATTTCACTACAGCTGTTTGACTCACCTCATAAGACCCGTTCAAGTCCTTTCCCTTCGGCGTGAAAGACAGCGATGTACCGATGTGCCTGTGTATTTCAACACTAGTTGTTTGAGATGCAGCTAATAACACCAACAGAGGCAACAGCACAAGAGAAGCCATCCTGAAGACTGCTCTACAGTCCTGATGTAGACGGATTTTTGGTTGTCGCTACACGGAAACAACTGGATATATTATTATGATGGATCTTATGCTCAAGTATGAAGCTAAACCTGTTCTGCCTTTGGTTTGCTATGGCCAGGAAACAGATTAACACATAGCAACTAGGAGCAGACTTGGTTTCATTTTGCAGCAATAGTGTTAGACACACACATACATACACCCCCCCCCCCCCCCCCCCCCCACACACACACACACATATATCTATATATATATATATATATATATATATATATAGAGAGAGAGAGAGAGAGAGTTGCATACGTCTGTGTGTGTGTGTGTGTGTGTGTGTGTGTGTGTGTGTGTGTGTGTGTGTGTGTGTGTGTTGTAATAACATATAGAAATGCTACACAACAATTATTGAACTTGTGTTATGACCAGTGGTGTCAAAAGTACACACAGACACCACTATATGAATTGAAAGCTGAATTTTTCGACTATTTTGAAAAATTATAGAGATAGGGCCAAAGATGAGGCAGGTCTTGTTGGTCTCCGTCTCCATCTCCTGATATACTCTCGCCTGTGTCCGACCTTTCCAACATTTCAACATCTTTTTCTGAATCCCACATTGTAGCATGGCATAGGCAATTCACGTTTGTAGTTTGAAGAACATCTGCTCACTTGTGATGATTTTGTCGTGTCTTTTCCTTCTCAACGACTTGAAAATTGTTACTAAGTTTTATAAAAATTCAAAGTTCTCAAAAGGCAGAAAAGTCTTCAACCAAAAAATGTAAAAAACAGGCAGAGGTCACGGATTTCCAAGTCCAGAGTGCTTTATTGTAAAACACAGCATCCACACTGAGCTGCTCTCCCGAGAAACAACTGACAATACAATGAAACAGCTTCCCTTTTATACATTTCAGGCTATTGGGGCTCCTCCCCCAAGCCCCTCCTTTCTTTTCATCATTTTACATGCATTTTCTTCGGTTAAGTCTAATTAATTTTATTCTACCGGTGGAAAGTCCTTTTCAAAACACATTTTTTATATATTTAATCAACAAACACTTTATTACAAGTCATGATTATTTTTCTTATAAGTCATAATAACATATGTCGCTATTAAATCAACAACCATTATTTTCCAGCTATTATTATTTCAAAACACAATTTTCAGTTCAGTTTATTATTTTAACACAAAGTTTTCATTCAGTGATTCATGATTGCAACATTTCACATTGAACTAGGGTGCCCAAAG